AAAAAAAAAAAAATTTTTTTTTTTTTTTTTTTTTTTTTTTTTTTTTTTTTTTTTTTTTTTTTTTTTTTCTTCTCTCCCCACCTGTTTTGTGTGTTTGTGTGTCTGTACAGCAGCAGCAAGATCAATAACATCTGAATAAGAGAAAGGCAAAGAACTACAAAAATATATTTTGTCTCCTGTCTCCTCCGTGAAAATAAATTCAAATTCTAGAGAATAATAAAACTGACGAAAATCCTCCACGCAGCGGTCCATGCTGTAGGTCCAGTGGTCCACTGATGGTCCGCCTCCTGCTCCTGCTGCTCCTGCTGCTGCTCCTGCTGCTGCTGCTGCTGATGATGATGATGGTTGTGGTGGCGGTGGTGGTTGTGGTGGTGGTGGTGCTGCTGCTGCTGCTGCTGGTGATGCTTCTGATGACGGGAATGCTGCTGAGGGTGCTCCAGGAGCTTCAGCTGCTGCTGCTGCTGCTGCTGCTGTTGCTGCTGCTGCTGCTGATGATGATGCAGCAGAGCCAGAAGCAACAGGAATACAACCAGCAGCAGACTGTGTTCCTGCTGCTGCTGCTGCTGCTGTTGCTGCAGGTGTTGCAGCAGTTGCAGTTGTCGCTGCAGCAGCCGTACCCGCCGCAGCACCAACACCAGCACCAACACCAGCACCAGCACCAGCAGCAGCAGCAGCAGCAGCAGCAGCAGCAGCAGCAGGCGGCGGTGCACAGCCCTCAAGAATATAGTTAACAGCTGCAGCAGCACTGTTTCTATAGAAGCGAAAGGGGCCCCGGGATCGCCTCCAGCCGATCCCCCGATCCCGGTACTCCTTAGCGGAGAACACGAGGGGGGCCCCCAAACCCCGGCAATAGAAAGGGTTTGCCTTCACTAAGTTTAATATTTTAAACCTGAGAGATATACATATACACAGGGTTTAGGGTTTAGGGTTTAGGGTTTAGGGTTTAGGGGTGAGGGGAGAGGGGCGAGGGGAGACCCTAGAGGGGATAGGGTTTAGGGTTTAGAGGGAAC